AGGGGGTGTTTGGTGGGTCGGATGCTCCGGCGGGCCGGTACGTCAGTTCGCTTCCCACGGACGCGAGACGGATTAACTTTTAGGAACGACGTCCTTCCTCCGACAGCAGTTTTCAGTTACATCTCCCTCACGGCCTGTCCCAGGACGATTCATTTCGCCCTCCTGACGGCGCCGCCTCTGCAAAAATAAAAATCCCCGCAAACCTAACTGCAGAGGAGGGGCCTCGCCGGCGCGACTTAGAGGCGCAGCCTGAAGCCGGGCACTGATTTGTTTAGCTGATTCTGTATAGCCGCCCATCTCAGCCAAGTGACTCTGGGCGGCGAACAGTTACAAAAGCCACTGAAACGATTGCACGCGGCGCCCTTGCGGTTCTCCGAGCTGGTGGTTTCCTCGCAGATGTCCCGTTGCCCGGCTAGGTAAGAGCGTCAGTGCCGCGAGGGAGAGGGAGAGGGGAGGGATGTTCTCCCGAGAAAATACGCGCAGATGAAGATGAGGTGATGGCCTCGTGTGATGCCGCAGCGCTCTTCACGTCCGTAAGCCCCGAACTAGCGAAAGAATCCGCGTCGGCAGCGCTACGCGACACCCCCGGCCTGACCAAATACCCCCAGATCGAAATACCCCGAATCGTGGGCCTCATCAGCCTCTGCCTCACCACCTGTTTTCAGTTTGATGGACAACTAGAGAAGACACATGAAACGACCAACAACGTCTTCAGAGGAATAACATTCAGAAAGGAAGAAGAAGGCAACAACACCCTCCCCTTCCTCGATATCCACATTGGGGTAGATGAAATTCAGCTAAAACGTCAGTTCCCCATACTGTATCATCAGCTATTTTTTATATGTATTACCGTGTTGAGTTTCATTCAGCACTATAGTAACCACGTGTTCCTGCGCAATCCAAGACGATGGATACTATAGAAGAGTTTGAGGCAGAGTTATCCCCAAAATTCAATTCCTCACCGGTACCTACAGTAGAAGATGATTCATACATTGTATTCATAGAATTTATACTACTGGATGGAGAATTAACTCAACTTTGCACTCCCTCTTGTCAACTTGTGTGGAAGAGATCGTTTGAGGAGAAGTAGTATATCGCATAATGTCTATTTCTGAGGGTAATGGCGTTTCCGGATATTGCGCAGCAGTGTCCTGACAGCCAACTGTACTATGGTGGGGACTCTGGGTCTTTAATGAACAAAAGAGTTAAGTCAACTCGACATAAAGGACAGCAGTTTGTACTTCGTATGTGGTCAAAGCAATGGTTAATTGCTTAATTAGCCATTGCTTAATTAATTGCTTAATTAGCATAGCTCACTGCATACAATCTTGACATATAGGACATTTAAAGGCCTCTTCAATGCAGTTGTTTGTGTTCTAAAATAAATTGAAAAACCTCCATTACATTTTAGTAATTAATATATTTAAGGTATATTTTATAATGGGTTAAGTAACACAATCCTAGATAATTTTACTTAGCACTAAATGTTCAAGTTTAACAGTTATATTAAGATAAATGATAATGAATACTATAAGTGCCATTAAAAATGATTGTTGTTCAGTCATGAAGTCGTGTCCAACTCTTCATGACCCCATGAACCATATCACACCAGGCCTTCCTATCCTTCACTGCCTCCCGGAGTTTGCTCAGTTTCATATTCATTGCTTCAGTGATGCTATCTAACCATCTCATCCTCTGCCGTCCCCTTCTCCTATATTAAATTATATAAATTAAAGTATTATATGATTCACTCCTAACCTTATTATGGAAGCATGGGTTTATTTTTTAGAGCACAACTGGCACCGGAGACAAAGCTTGCAGGTCTCTCAACAATGCTGATACCTAGGAGACGCACTCTGGCTGGAACCTGTCGATGGATATCTCCCGGTGGCTGGTTGATTAATTGATGAATAGAATCTGGAATGTCCACGTGAAATATCTGGTGTTGGTTTCGATGGTGTCATTGAACTTTCTACTGGTGCTGTATACAGATCAGGAAATAGTTCTGGTAGGGGGACTGATGGCATGTCTTCATCATCATCTTGAAAATCATAATCAGCGTCTTTTTCCCACAGGGCATTATAATAGAAATTCTGCCTTCCACTACTCCAAGTGTGCAAACTGTATGATTGTCCAGATTCTAGATGACTGATGCAACTTTCCTAGGTAGTAGACTTTATGGTACATGTGGAAAGGTCACTATACCTATTTGATGCATGTTCATCAACACAATTATCCCCTGTAGATATGTTTGGATCATATCTGTTCATCTCAGTTTCCATGTTGGTTGATGTGCCCGGAAGAGCCATTGTTAAGATCTTTTAGCGCGCAATTATACCCAGCGTTGTCTGAATTGGCCAACTTGTAATTTCTGTGAAGTTTATGAGCCCAGAGTGAGTGTCACTGGAAACTGCATTTTTTGGATTGAATTATTATTATTATTATTATTATTATTATTATTATTATTATTATTATTATTATTAATTTGACTTGTCCCCGCCCATCTCCCCACAACGGGGGACTCTGGACGGCTTACAACAAACTCAAATCAGAAATACAATTAAAAGTTATAAAAACCAGACATTACAAAAATAAAAAAGCTAAAA